TTTGACTTCCCACGACCTAGGAAAGTGTGTGGTCTTCAGCGAGCATGCGTTTGCCGGAAGAACAAATTGCGTTGGCATGCATTATCTTTCGATACAATGAAGGTTGCCTCTCCTCCCTGGTCCCACTTTGTAGAAATGTGCATTGCTGACATTATAAAGTTAACTGTCAAAGTCTCCCCACTCATTTAATTCCTGTCCTCTGTGTAGGTTAGTGACCCACCATAGACCTCATGTTCTAAGCAGAAGACCCGACAGTTCTGCGCAACTGCTCTTTCGTGGCCGACCCTGTTCTTATCTTTCGGGTGTGCAGCTGGATTTATCATCTTCTGTCCGCAAGGGCGAGGAGGTGCCAGTTCATTGTCTTAGTTATTCTGAGGAATTCCCTGGACTTTCCGTCATTAAAAAATAATTGGTGGGGGTGACACATTATAAACTATATAAATGTCTAACCATTGTACTATATACCTGAAACTAATATAAAATTTAAAAAAAAATGGTGGGGGTGGGGAAATCAGTGTGGGTGAAGGAAGAGGAACCGGCCACTCCCTGTGCCTTCACTCTGTGTTTCAGAAAATTTCTTTATATCTCTGACTCTACAAAATATGTCCTGTTTCCTAACCCGGTCCTTCTCTTGAGAATAAAGGTTAACCTAGGATCATTTAAAATACTGTGTAATTAACCTTGAGCACTTAAGTTTGCACCAGGCACACTTATCGAGTGTCCAAGCCCTTTGCACATCATCAGAGACGATGAGTTGCACATTACAACAGCCCTAGGATGTAGGTCCTCTTATTGTTGCCATTTGCGGATGAGGAGACCGAGGCTCATGGTGGGTAAGTCCCTGCAGAAGGTCAGGCTGCTGGAGATGGACATGGACAACTGTCCCTATTTGTATTTGGCCCAGACTTCCTCCCAGCATGCTTTAGGACTGAAGCTGGGGTTTAAACTTAGGCAATTGGGAGCCATTTAAAAATGAGATGATTTAAAACCAAGGGTTAGAAAATAATTATGTTCTTTTAAAACTAGCCTTGCAAATAGAGTCTTAACTATGTACAGAGCTCTGGTTCCTAACCCCAGTCCTTCTCTGGAGTTGCCTTCCTCAGGAGCAGACTGATGTCTCGCCTACATCTTTGAAGCATGAGCATATGTGCACTTGAGAAAAGTCACAGGGACAAAACGTATCCTGAACTTGGTTGGTGTCTATTTCCAAACCATATTGGAGTCATTTTTAGCTGGGTGGGGCTTCTGCCTTTGAAAAGTCCTGCCATGGCGGAAAAGGGAGAGACCCTGTCTGGAAGTTATTAGCCAGGGACACAGTATTTCCGGACATGACAAAGAAGATCTTTCCAGAACCACAGGTGACAGTGTCCCCAGACAGGCACATTTTGCTTACGAATGTTTGACGTTTGTCTCAGGCAGTCTTGAGGGTATGATATGCTGACATGGGAAGGCTGGGCAGTCTGGAGCAGCCCACGAAGTGGCCTGAGGAAAGAGAAGGTACAAGAGAGACCAAGAGCAGGATCTGCCCCCTGGGCCCCTGCCATGAGGCTGCTGTGTGCCCTGAGGCACATCACTCCCCCTCTCTGAGTCTCTTGCTGCTTCTCTATCAAATGAGAAGGGTGAATGTCAGGGATTCAAATGCTCTTTGCCTTTCAGCTCCATTCCCCCCACCTCCTTTTTTTTTTGTTAACCAAGGTATAATTTAAATAGAAGAAAACTCACAAATCTTATGTTTACAGCTTGATACATTTTTGAATTTCGATTTTTTGAATTTTTGTACACACTCATAAAACCACCACTCTGATCAAGACCTGGAACATTTCCAGCCACTGAGAGGCTCTCCCTCCCCCACTGAGATCCGCTCTAAAGTTTTATAATTAATGATTCACTGTGACTGTGTACAGTATTTTTGCATTCTCTCTCCTGTTCTTTCTAGAGCTGTGCTGTCACCGGCCTCCTGTGGCTGCTGTGCACTTGAGGTTTGGCCCGTGGTACTGCTATGTGCCGTACATGTACAGTATGTACCGGCTTTGCAAGACCTAATGTGGAAGAAGGACTGGAGGAGATCTCGGTGCTTTTCAGTTGGGTTTTGGGTTGACTCAGAACTTTTGGGGACTTTTTTAGAGTCCACACCATGAGATCCTGATGAGAAGAATAGACTCACCTTTGAAGCCTCTGGGGGTGCATGAGCATCCTGATGTAGGGAGGCCTGCGAGGCTTGCTGGGGCCACCTCCACATGGCCGTCACCTCCTGCTTGCCCCTTTGGGCCTCTGGAGGGCAGGTGCTGGTCTCCATAGTGGGGGCGGGTGAGGATGTTTTTCTATATACTTTTGTTCTTTTGTTTAATAGAATAATATTTTTTTAATCTTTTGGTTTTAAACATGTCTTTGGTCTGTAGACTAGGGTTTAGGTTTGCTTTCTTTTTTTTTTTGTAGTTAGAGGCATAGCCTTTTTTAAAGGTAATTTTGTTCATTCACATTTATTGTTATATCTTTATTGGATTCTGCTATTCTGTTTTGTTCCTTATTTTAGCCATAATTCGATTTCCCATATACTCGTGATTTTAGATGGGATTGGGCACAGCTCCATGTAGAGTTTCACAGTAGATTTCTTAGCCTTTATCAAACTTACTTTTTCTTAATCTAAATCTAATAACTAACGGACACAAACAGGAGTGTTCTTATTGCTTTAGATTGCCATATATAGCTATCACGAAGCAGAGAGACTTTGGACTTCCTTCTATAGGCACCTTGAACTGCTGGCTTCCTCCTCCTGCGTCTGCGCTCCACCCCTCCCCCATGCCACTGGGGCTCGGGTTGAGAAACACATTCATTCTCAGTTCTCCTTTTTCACGCCTACATCCAGCTTGTGTTCACTTGTACTGATGACATACACAGACACTGAGCAGCACAGTGTGGCAGAATGGGAATAGAAAGAATGTTTAGTCATTCTGGGCGACTTACACAATCTCTCCAAGCCCAACTCGTGGGTCTTATCATAAATAAAAAAGTTAATATACTGCGGGAAGATTAAATGAGAAAATGTGTGAGGCAGTACCTGGCACATAACTAGTTGTTTGATAAATATTAACCTCCCTCTTCCCCCCTCTCTGTTCATATTCTTAGTTGCTTGACATGGCAAATGGCTTGTGTTTATACTGTAAAACTTGACCTTGAGTGTTCTCCTGATTTTGTCATTCTTGGAATAGGGTGACCTTTTTTTTGTATTTGCGTGTGTATGTGTGTTTTAATGGAAGTGAAACTCACATGACATAAAATTAAATATACATTTTAAATATACAATTTATTGATATTTAGTACATTGACAATGTGGTGAAACCACCACCTCTATCTAGTTCTAAAACATTTTCATAACCCCAGAAAACCCCCGACCCATTGACAGTCACTCCCTATTCCCCCTCCAGTCCCGGGCGACCACTAATCTGTCTCTGTGGATTTGTTTTTTTGGACATTTTGTGTAAATGGAGTTATACAGTATGGTCTTTCACATCTGGCTTCTTTCATTTAGCATAATGTTTTTGAGGCTTATCCATATTGTAGCATGAATCAGTACTTCATTCCTTTTTATAGCTGAATAATATTCCATTATGTGGACAGATCATATTTTACTTATCTATTCATCTGTTGATGGACCTTTGGGTTATTTCCACTTTTTTGGCTCCTGTGAATAATGCTGCTAGGAATATTTGTGTACAAGTGTTTGTGCAGATGTATGCTTTCATTTCTCTTGATTAGAGCTCTAGAAGTAGACTTGCTGGGCCATATTAAAGAATTTTAAGAATTAAGTTTGCCAATGTGTGGCAGTATCTGGTACACATAGGTTTACAATAAATGTTGGTAAATTTTTACGTTATTTCCTTGTGGACTTTATTATGATGATGATGATGATGATGATGATGATGATGATGATGATGTAGTTGATTTTCTGGCTTTCAGACCTTATTTGTATTTTGGTAAGTTTCCCTGTATTCTTGTCACCATCCTGAAATTTTTCTTTTTTTATTGAAGTCTTCTGATCCACATATTAAAATAGGTTGAGGGCCCAAGTCCTTCTGATTGAGACCCCCCTCCAAAAAAATGAATAAAATAACTTGATTTCTCAGGCTTGGAGTTATCTGATAAGCCAGATCACTTGCTTCACTCATCCATGCCACAAGTATATACTGAGTGCCTCATGTGTGCCAGGCCTGTGGGATTTTGTGGTTGAATCTTGGGTACTCCAAGAGGGGACAGTGACTGCATTTAGCATATCACTATGGCCCCATTGCATTGAATGAATGTAAACGAACCTCCTGCTCTCTAGTAACTGTACAGCTGGAGAGCTCAGTACTTTCTCTGTGCATTCAGTGCCCAGACTGACCACTCAGGCCTGGGACTGGAAGCCCTGCACTGTCAGGACCTGGGGTACCTGAACCTAGCCGTACCAGCTTATGAGAGAGTCAGTCATGTATGTCGTCCCAACTCCACATAAAGGGACATCACGTTGGTAGCTTGAAATCAACCACTGTGGGAATATTTGCACCATAGAAATCGGCAAAAGCTACAAATCAGGGCTTCTCCCTTTCTTCTCTATTTTGTTTTGAGAAGCTGATGTTAAACATGTACCATCACACCAACCTGCCTTCTGAACCTCATCTCTTACTATTCTCCTGACGAGATAGCTTTTCACTGATGAGGAAATTGAGTCACAGAATGTCGAAGGAACTTACCCAAGGTAACACAGCCAGAAAATGACAGGGCCGGAATTCAAACCCACATCTGACCTTGGCTTATCTCCATAGTCTTAGGACTATACAGTACCTTGACTGTATCCATTTTCTGATCTCTAGTCATGTTTGCCAAAGCACTCTGCCACCAAATTTTTATTTTGATCATTCCTTAGTATTTAAGGTGCCAGGACTTCCTGATGTGTTGCCTGAGCAATGCTGAGATCCTGTTCCTTCTTACCGAGAACTCTGTGTTTTATTTTGTTCCTGCAGAATTTCGCTAAAGAGTTTGTGATCAGTGATCGAAAGGAGCTGGCAGAGGATTTCATCAAGAGCGAGCTCAAGAAGGCGGGGGGAGCCAATTACGATGCCCAGACGGAGTAACCCCAGCCCTCCCCCTGCCCCTTACCAAAGTCATCTGCCTGCTCCCCGGGGGAGGGGACATCGGCCTCAGCTACCAGCCCACCAGCCCACCAGGGAGAGGAGACGCAGTGAGAGGCAACGCCCGCCACCCTGTCTGCAACCCAACTCCCCTTCCCCGCTTCCCTTGTGAGCCCCCGTAATAGCTTATCTCCCGAAGCTCATGGAACATCTTTCTTTTATCTTCTTTTTCTTTTGTCCCCCTTTTTCTGAAGAAAAATCATTTTGATGCCAAGGCCATGCACATCCTCAGATGTGAGGCGCCTCCTGTGGTGACCCTTGCCCTGGCATTTCTCTCGGCCTGCCTGGCCTCCTCCACCATGACCTCACCATGACCTCACGCTGCTTCCGGAGCCCGGGTGCGCCGCCACCCTGGTTTTCTCTGGCGCCCCCGCCTGCTTACAGCGGAGGAGGCACCTGCGCCCAGAGATGCGCCATCAGCGGCGGCCTTCATAAGCACACACGTTCACCGCATTCGTCAGGCTCAGACCTCCTAGAATGTGCTCCAGGGTCCCTCACCCACCCCTTTCAAAGTTGCCTAAGCTACATGTCTGACAGAGACGGTGCTCGGTGGTGAGAAGTTTAGGCCTGACTCAGACCAAAGGAGAAGAGAGAAAATTTGCCTTAAAAGTTGTCTGGCAGGAGCTTTGCCACATGGTCCAAAATGGCCCATTCCCATCCTTTCGAGTGAAGTCTCCTTAGGACATGGAGTGGGGGCAAAGGTCTGAGTCCAGATTTGACAGGAGGAGTCTTTCGGGGTTAACGTCAGAGGCTCCCAAAGTGACAAGGACATTAGGGAGAGAGGCCTGGGGTGCGAAATGGGAATTTAGATAGAACTGGGAACTGATTCCTTACTTTCGGGAAGGTCCTCTGCCAACGGCAAGGACAGCATGGGCCAGAAGGCCTGCTCTGCCACCTTAGCTGTGTGTGGAGTGGAGCCCCAGCCTCAGGGGGACCAGGACATCTGTGGTTTTAATCTTACATCTATACCACACATTCAAAAGGATTTTCTTTTTTCAAAGAAAGATGAGATTGGCTTGGTTCTTCATGAGCATATTTTATAGTTCTTTTTCTTTTTTTTTCCTTGTTCATTTCATTTGGGGGGAGAAAATCTGTGCTGTATTGCGGTTGTGAAGAACATCTGCACTCAAACAGTTTACAGAAATAAATGTTTTTTTGTTTTTCAAAAAACAGGTATGTCTGATTTGTCTTATAAAGCTTCTTTACTGTAAAATCAAAGACCATTGTCATCTTCAAATTTAATAGGCATTTATAGAGCTACTGAAGGCTAGGCACTTCATATTGAGAACCTTATTTAAATTTTAATAACCACCTTAAGAAATAGTTGCTGTTTGTGTCCCCATTTTCTGGAAACTGCCGTTCAGAGAGAGAGTGTGAGTCCTCTGAGGCCACACAGCTAGAAAGAGGCAGAGCTGGGATTAGAACCTAGGTCTCCTGATGCCTTGAACCTAGGTCTCCTGATAGCCTGAAGCTATCGCTGTGGCTTCTGGGGGTAGTGGAAAGGCCCTGGATTGGAAAGAGGGACGTGATAGCAGGATTGCAATATTCCCCCAACGGTTAGAGGCCTTCCCTCTGTCTTTTCAGGAACAGCTGAGAGGCTGCGCCCTCCTCAGCTGGGCTGTGACATTCTCTCCGAGGTTGTCCTAGAGCTTAAAAACTGGACTTTCAGCATACCAGGCCTGGTAGGAATTCAGAATCAGGTCAGAGGTGTTTCAGACGTACAGACAACTGGATTTGGAGGAGCTGAGTGTGGGGTAGGGAGGTAGGGCGTGGGGAGAGAAATTAAAGTCAGAACAGGAAGGAATCCTGCCAGGGGTGTGCAAGGTCACGCTTACGCTACCCCACAACAGCACAGGGATGAAGGTTGACCCATGGCCCACACCAGCCACATCTATGTTCTAATACCTGCTCTTCTACTCACAGCTATGTGGCTTTAGGCAAGTTAGTTAACCTCTCTGGGCCTCAGTTTCCTCATCTGCAAAATTATCAACAATATTACCTATTGTAATAAATAGGTAGGAAGGCTTAAGGAGCGGCGCTATTCTGAGGGTATCTGGTAGGAGCTCAGTTCTCATTACAACATGCCTGCCACTAGGTCTTATTAGCTCTGCGTGCCCAATTTTTTCCTACGTCTAGAACAGAGGGTGTTTGACTTACTGGCATTCTTTTTGCTATGGTCAGAGAACTTGGGACAATTACAGATAAGGATAAGCCCCCCTCTGGAACAAAAGCCAAATCCTATGAGAAAATTACAAAAGGACTAGGCCTGGTCAAAGACATCAGGGAGGGCTTTCCTGAGGAGGTGACACCTGAGAAGGGAAGGAGAAGAGGAGCGAAGCAGGCAAGGGGGGTGGAGGGACAAGGGGACCTTGGACAAATGTTTGCTGAGGGGAAGAGGAGGAGGGTGGAACTGGGTTTGCGTGTCCGGGAGCTTGGTTTTGAGGAAAGCTGCGGCTCAGGGCTTAGCTGGGATTTCACAGGGCGTCGGATGGAATCATGAGGTCTTCGAGGGCAGAGAGAGGCCTTGCCTTGATCATTTCTTTATCCCCTGCTCCTAGCACCTGCTAGGTGTCCGGTAATGTTGCCTGGACCTGCCTCCACCTGTTCCTGTGCCTGCCCAAGGCCTGGACTGCCCAGACCTGGCCTCCATCGGGCCCTAGCAGGGATTGGAGATAGAGCTTGATACTTCAGTCTCCTTGCTCAGACACACTCTGACTTACTTTATTCATTGGTCATTCAACAGCTTTTCCACATTCTCCAAAATCGAATGGTGCAAAAACACCACCATTTTATTTTGCCCTTAATTTTGTGGGACGGGAATTTAGGAGGGGCTCAGCCGGGCAGTTCTCCCAAGCAGGGGTCTCTCATTTGGTGCATTCAGATTGACTGGGCTGGATGTCCAAGCTCGCCCCTTCAAGTGGCAGGCCGTCTCATGATGCTGTGGTCATCTGGGAGGTCAGCTGGGCTGCGGACAGGAGCACCTGACGTGGCTTCTCCTGCACATGGGACAGGGTTGTGGACTTATATGGTAGCTAGCTACTCCCAGAGCAAGCATCCTGGAGGACAGGGAGAGACTGCATGGCCTTTTCTGACCAAGCCTCAGAAGTCACATGGCACTCCACTGGGGGAAGTGGTCATGAGCCCCCAAATTCAAGGGAGGGGGACATTGACTCCACCTCTCCATGGGAGGAATGCCAAGATGCATGTGACCTTTTCAAAGCACTACACCTGCTGTGACCAGGCATTGTGTGAGGCATGGGGGACCCTCATGCTCAGGAGACTTGCCAGGGGGTGGGGGTGGGGCGGAGGAGCTCTACAGTAAATCAAGCCAGTAATTGCGGCAGGTATTCCTGTGTCCTCTGGGAGGCGGCTGCTCCTAGCTGATTGATCCCTGGGGAAGCGGCTGTTTCTCAACTTTGCCCAGCCCTCACACTATGGTTTATTCTCCAGCGGTCTCTGTGAGGCTGGAAGGGGGAGGGGTCCCAGCCCCAGGTGCTGCCCTGGTGGGAAAGGCCTCCTGCCGTCCCCGCCTTCAGGATGGGTTGCCCTCATGACAGTCTCCCTGATGCTTCCTGTTCCCAGTTTCTCAGTAAGTCACAGAGAGAGGTAAAAACAAGAACCAAAAAAGGTCAGCTGCAAGGAGATGACTCATCGAAGACAGCTCAGCATGCAGGTCAAGTCAGGTGGTCTGAGCCTCAGTGTCCTCTTCTGTAAACAATGGGCCGTGACAACAGTACTTCCCTGTCTTCACCCATGTGGCTGCTATCACAAACTATCATAGACCAGGTGACTTATAAACAGCAGAAATTTATTTCATATAGTTCTGGAAGCTGGAAGTCCAAGATCAGGGTGTCAGCATGGTCAGGGGTGGGCCCTCTCCTGGGTCCCAGATTTCTTATTATGGTGACATCACATGGAAAGGGCAAGGGAGCTCTGCGAGGTCTCCTTTGTATGGGCACTAATCCCATTTGGGAGGGCTCGACCCTCATATACCTGATCACTTCCTAACGCCATCACATTGGGGGTTAGGGTTCCAACATGTGAATGTGGGTGGATGTACACATTCAGACCACAGCCTTACCTCATGTATTTACATGAGCACTAAACGAAATGAGCTGCGCAAATTACTTAGCACGATGTTATCTTAATATGATGGCTACTCTCTTCGTAGTCCTAGGAGGCCATCCTCGTTCTGGGGAAGGGCTGGGCCATGTGAGTACCTTCTGGCCTAAAACCAAGGCAGTGATGGAGCATTTGGATCCTTCTACCCCTGCTTGTCAGTGCCACCTCCCAGGGACCCACTATATGGCTCTGGGTTTGGCAGTCTGCTCATTGAGAACACAAATGCCTCTGGGGTATGTTTTGCCAGAGCAGGTAGACTCCTGGATGAGGCTCAGATCCCCTGATGGAGTTGGGAGGCTGGTACTGGGAGCCAGCACAGGGCGATAAGGAAGCATTCAAGTCCCAGCTCTGCCACTAACAGGCTGCGTGACCTTTCTGAGTGGCTAGGGTAAGTCATGTGGCCAGGCTGAAGTTTAGTGGGGCAGGGATATATTGCCAAGTATTTATGAACAGAAATCCAGTCCGCCCAATAAGTGGCTAAGGCAGGATTTGAACCCAGGCACGCTGTGAGTGGATATAGGTCATAGGTTCACCCCTTCACCCACCTAAAAAAACCTCAGGGGCAGTTTCAGCCTCAGGAGACAGAATGAGACAAGGCTGAGGTGTTTGGGCTGCAGGACGCCTCGAAGAGTCCAGTAGAAGAACCCTGTCATGTCAGTGCTCACTCGTGACTGGAAGGGTAACCAGTGCTCGCGTAAACTTGACCATCACCCTGCCATTGCTTTTAGCTCTCATATTCCTCCCAGCCTGGAGCAGCCCAGGAGCTGGACAGCCTGGGGGCCTGCAACACTCTGTTTTTGTTTAAATGTAAATTAATAAGTCGTGAAACTAAGAGAAAAACATTTTTGGAGCTTATTTCTTTTTAAGATTAGGCTTTCATTTTGAGCTTTTCTTTGCCCATCACAGGTCATCCTAAATTTAGAAGAGAATTTCGCTCCCCAAACTGCAGCTCCATATCAGCCCTTGAACCCCAGGAGCTCTTCATGGCTCTGTGATCAAGTTTAAATTTCCCAAAGAAGCCTGGGGGGTCTTGTTTGTCTCTCTAGCCAGGACTCGATCCACTTCTCCCCTGGACCTCTGATCTGGCCATCCTTCCTTCACTTTCCTGAAGGCCCCACTCCTCCCTCTAGAGAGACACTGCTCTCTGCTCTGACCTACTTCTTCTAGAAGGTCCCCCATACCCCATGTAGTGGGCCGATTGGTGGTTCCCAAAAAATATGTCCATGCCCCAGTCCCGTACATGTGTCCTTATTTGAAAATGATGTAATTATTTTAGATAATTTTGTAGATGTGATTAAGTTAAGGATCTCCAGATGAGCTCTTCCTGGATTTAGGGTGGGCCCTGACTTCTATGACAGACGTCCCTTATAAAAGAAAGCAAAAGAGACTTGAGACAGCAAGACATGGAGAAGAAAGCCACGTGAAGGCAGAGACGGAGTGATGCAGCCACAAGCCAAGGGATGCCTGGAGCCACCAGGAGCTGAAAGAGGCAGGTGGGATCCTCCCTAGACCCTCCAATTTCTGGAGGAAGCTTGGCCCAGCCAACAGGTCAGATGTCTGGCCTCCAGAGAACACATTTATTGACTTAAGAAACGTCCAAACCTGTAGAGAATTTTTATCACAGTTTATTTGAGCCAAATTGACGACATGTGCTGGAGAGCAAGATCTCAGATGCTCCAGAGAATTAATAGTTTTGTAGCCGTTTTTATGCACGTGAAATTAAGGAGGGGATGTAAGGAAGATTGGAGAAAGCAAGGCAGGGATCGGATTATAGGACAGTTAACATGATTATGGGCTCTCTTGAGGGTTAATACTCCCTTCTAGGGGTACTACTTCTGGTATTTCAAAGGTGTGTCAACCTAGACACACAAGAACAATGGATAGGGCTGGCTTAAAACTTTTTGCTAAGAAAGTTATATGCCTGAGGCATAACTACCCACCATGACTTGCCCAGTTAGGAATTTATGATCAGATCACTCTTTGAGATTACTCATCATAGGACACGTTTTTATTCCAGACCACACATTTTTGTTGTTTTCAGCA